ACTTACGCGAGGAACTCCAGCCAGGCCCAAGGAAGACACGTAGTCTCCGTCCAGTCAGCAACCCACTGAGGGTCCCTGCCTCTCTCGGGAGGTTTTGCTCCCTGTGGACCGCTCACGGGTGGAGGAGCTTCCCTACCGCAGCTGACCCCCACAATCAGCTGTCCACGTCGCCTTTACTTACGACGGTCATATAAATGAGTCCCTATGATCTGTCCCACGGCCACACAGCACTTCAGCCGAGGAAGTGGGCAGGTGGGGATGGGGAAGGCCTGGCCCACAGGCCCAGGATAGCAAACCCCCAACACACACACACACACACACACACACACTTTCTGGAAGTGTCTGGGAAGCAACGCCCAGGCTTTGGCCACATCTGCCTTCCTTCCAAGCCTAGAGGCACCGGCCAAATCAAGTGGACAAGAGGACTGCTGATGTCGGAGCGCAGGGCTCCTCTGGGCACATGGCACAAGGGACAAGAAATGTGCTTGCAGATGCAGGCCATGGCCACACTGGATGCTGCCAGCCAGGTGGGGCCCAGGGTCAGCTCCACACATGCTCAGTTGATGGGAAGCCCACCAGGTATCAGCCAGGGGCGGGGAAATTAGAAGTCATCACCAGGGGCTGGTGTTGAAGGACATTCAGTGGGAAGCACCTGAGAGGAGAGACCACTACTGGAGGTGGAGTGAGGGGGTCAGTGAGGCTGCCCTCAGAGAGCCCTGCTCCTGAGGGGCAGCCACACAGGCCTCTGCCAGCCACAAGCCCTGCCCCACCTCGACCCCGGCAGCCACGTGGGTTTGAACGCATGTGTGGAGGGCCTGTGTGAACACACCGACATACGAGGTGTGTGCAGGTTGTAGAGCCAACCAGCAGCAGAGCCACAGAACAGTGGCCCATCCAAGCACCCAGAAAGACAGTCACCCCAGGCTCTGGTGTCCACATTACTGAATCTGCTCTTCCCCACTGCCAGAAGCCCGGGAGCTTCTCTGCTGTGGTCATGGAGGTGTGTGGTCACCAGTCCCAGGGAGGACAGGGCGACAGGGAACCAGGTGTTGTCATCAGTAGCCCTGCCCTCGTCCCTACAGTGACCAGAAACTGATGGCACGCCAAGAGAGGCGCAGGAGGGCTAAGTGCTCAACCCCTAGGCAAAGGTTGCTGGTTGAAACCCACCCAGGGGCTCGGCAAGAGGAATACCAGGCATCGTGATGGGCCAGAGCGCTCCCGGAGGCAGCCCTTCCGTGCCATCCGGCTGGTCACGGCAGATCAGCCATGGCGGCACCAACAGCAACTACGTTTCTAACTCGAGGTTTCGCTCCCTGGGGGCCCCAACCCCACAGATGATGGCGGGAGTCAGGGCAGAAAAAGCACATTGACACCCCGCGTGACGTGACCGGGCAAATCTGCACGAGCCCTCTTTATGGTTCAGAAAAGGCAAGGACGTGACTTTGAGGACTAGGGTGCACCTGACCAAGCCGTGACGTTTTCCATCCCCTCACATGCACGTGGAAGCTGGACGCCGAACAAGACTGAAGAAGAATCGGTGCACCTGAGCGAGGGCGGCGGCGGCGGACAGTGAGGGCACGTGGACCGCTCGCTCGAGGGCAAACCCATCGGTCTTGGAAGAGGCACAGCCCCAGTGCTCCCGAGAGGCAACGACGGGAGGCTTTGTCTCCCGCACTTTGGACATGTTGTCAGGATAGACCAGTCTCTAAGGAAGGACACCGTGCTTGGTCAAGCAAAAGGGCCATGAAAGAGACGGCGGTGGCGCTGGCCACGATGGGAGGACACCGTGGCTGAAACAAGGAGCTCAAACATAAGAACAGTTGAGGACGGCATGGGGACGGGCAGGGATTCACGGTCATGGAGTCGATGCTGACCCAAAGCAACCCTATAGGACAGGGCCGAACTGCCCCTGGGGGTTTCTGAGACTGTCACTCATTATGGGAGTGGAACGCTCCGTCTTGCTCCCTCGGAGCAGCTGGTGGGTTCAAACTGGTGACCAGCCCACTGGGTGGCCACTACACCACCAGGCCTCTTCAGCAAACAGTGACTGGGGACAAACTATGTCAGTCACCAAAGCCCTTGGAAGAAAAACTGCCCAGGGAGCTGGTGGCCTTCTGTTGTCCCCACAGGGATCAGCGACAAG